CGTTTGTTCACACGGGTTTGTAGCATCGCTTGTGTTATTTTGTCCTGGATTTTATTTTTCTAAAAAATGGAACAAGGTTTTGTAAAAACTGAGTTAAATAATCTAATAGGAGGAACCAAAGAAAATTACACATTATTTTACAATTTATGACATGAAATGACATATATAATTCTCATCTCGATTTCAAGAATTATCGAGTAAAATCGATTATAATATCCAAATCTATTAATTGGACACTTTTCTTTGTCAATATCTCTTCTCTCAGATTTCCAACTTTAATTTAAAAAAAAAACCTTATTAGCTATTATTTTAATGAATATGACAAATAACCTACAAAGAAACATCGGATGTTATCATTAATTAGTACAGGAGTGCGTTTAGAAACCCCGCACGACGCGTCTGAGCCCTATTCTAATGCATGTGGTCAGACGCGCCGTGCGGGGTTTCTAAACGCACTCCAGATCATACCGAGTGCATGACCGATTACATTCCTTTATTGATTATGCATGACAAGTCGATACCAAGCCCGCGAAATTTAAATAAAGGATGGTTTAAAAAAATAATAAGGGTGGATCTAAACCTTATCACTCAATTTAAAAAATAAATGCTAGTTTGATGGTCCGAGATCATCTCAAATTAGATAAACAAGTCACAAAAGTAAGCAAATTTTTCACCCTGGCTGGGCTTCATTAAATATTCATACATCTAATACAATTTTATATACCCTCGAAATCCACAATACTCAATATTCAAAGCATTCGACCTATCACGAATAACAAAAAACCGTGAACACATAAAGAAACTACTTTAAAATTAATAGCGTGAAAGGGAATTTTCCAGACAAAAACTCCGGAGAACCCTTTCGAACTGTTCGGAGTCATCGTTTTCCAGAAATGTTCGCCGGTTTCTCCTCATGCATTATTTCAATGCCGCGAACGTGACGCAGACCCATTGGCGTCTGGAGAAGGGTTAGAGGATACTTGTGAATATGAAATGAGAAGACTGTGAAATTGGAATTGTACTGTTCATTTTTTTGAACAGAAATTCAAAGATGTAACGAAGTAAAAATGCTTGTTTGATTTAGAATTACTATAGATAGCGTCAATTGCCTCAAAAAGTGGGTGGACAGGAAGGGGAAAATAGAAAATAATATTTCCATAGTCTTTCAAAATAAAAAAAGGGAAGTTATAAAGAAATTTTCTGCAAATAAAAATTACCAATTTTCTAAAGAACGTATTTGTCTTTGGTACACACGTATTGATGATATGCTACTGAAGATGTCTTCTTATTTAGAACAGATATAGTATAATCAAAAATAAATGTACACGCATGTACAAATGTCGAAATTTCATAACAATATGGCGAAAGGGAGATGCAGATGGATGAGAAAAAGTTGAATCAATTTTGAAATATAAAAGACCAATTTTGAATTATTACAAACGGTTAATCCCAAATTTAAGTGAAAAAGAAAGTGTATTGATTCAACTGTTAAAAAAAATAAAAAAGTAGCTTAATCAACGTGGGGCTACAGTGAAAAAGTTGAGTAAATTTTGAAGTATGAAAGACCAATAATAAAGACGTATGAGAGGGTTTTTAGGAATTTTGAATTATTACAAACGGTTAATCCCAACTTTAAGTGAAAAAGAAAGTGTATTGATTCAACTGTTGAAGAAAAGAAAAAGTGGCTTAATCAACGTGGGGCTATAGTGAAAAAGTTGAGTCAATTTTGAACTATGAAAGACCCAATAATAAAGACGTATGAGAGGGTTTTTAGAAATTTTGATTTATTACAAACAAATAATCCCAAATTTAAGTGAAAAAGTGTCTTGATTCAACTGTTGAACAAAAGGGAAAAATGTCTTAATCAACGTGGGACTACAGTGAAAAAGTTAAGTAAATTTTGAAGTATGAAAGACCCAATAATAAATACGTTGAGAGGGTTTTTAGAAATTTTTAATTATTACAAACGGTTAATCCCAAATTTAAGTGAAAAAGAAAGTGTCTTGATTCAACTGTTGAAGAAAAGGGAAGATGGCGTAATCAACGTAGGGCTACAATGAAAAAGTTCAGTCAATTTTGAAGTATGAAAGACCCAATAATAAATACGTTGAGAGGGTTTTTAGAAATTTTTAATTATTACAAACGGTTAATCTCAAATTTGTGAAAAAGAAAGTATCTTGATTCGACTGTTGAAGAAAAGGGAAAATGGCGTAATCAACGTGGGGCTAAGTGAAAAGTTGAGTAAATTTTGAACTATGAAAGACCCAATAATAAATACGTTGAGAGGGTTTTTAGAAATTTTGAATTATTACAAACGGTTAATCTCAAATTTGTGAAAAAGAAAGTGTCTTGATTCGACTGTTGAAGAAAAGGGAAAATGGAGTAATCAACGTAGGGCTACAATGAAAAAGTTGAGTCAATTTTGAAGTATGAAAGACAAATAATAGGATGTTAGGAGGGTCTTTAGGAATTTTGAATTATTACAAACTGTTAATCCCAAATTTAAGTGAAAAAGTGTCTTGATTCAACTATCGAAGAAAAGGAAAGTATCTAAATCAACGTGGGGCTACAGTGATTGGTGAAACTGCATAGAGGATTTCGCTGAATTGGTAAGACAATTACGGTGCGTAAGAGTTATCTATCTCTTTGAATGAGTAAATTTCTATAGAAAAAAGGTATACATTGATTATCAAAGTTAATGAGAATTCCAAAACACTTTGTGAGTGTGCAGGGAGTGTGAATAGCAGCATTAATGGATTTGAGAGAAGGAAAGGCTTCGTGCTGGTGTAAAGGTTAAGAGTGAAATATAAGAGAAGATGATAAACAGCTGCAAGAAGATTGATGTTGATAAAGAGTATATTATTAAATAGGAACTTGAGAATAGGGAAAATAAGAGATGAAGTCAGTAGCAAAGGTATAAAACATTGGTAGGAGGTTGGAAAGAACTAAGTCAGAACTGTGGGTGGAAATACAGATGTTGAAGGTGGAAACCGATAAGAAGTTAGTATAAACTAAAATGGATGTTAGGGAGGAAGTGATCAGTAGAATAGAGGAGAAAAGTTTCAGGATGATAAGATTAAGAGCTTGGTAGGAAAACAGATTGATGGTAACTTAGGGAAAGTAAAAGAAGCATTAGATGAAGTTAGTGTGTGGTCAGCTCTATCCCTCAATACTTCCCAGGATTAAGCAGACACTTTCTTAGGTAAAGTAACTCAAAGGAGTATTATACTATTAAACAGTGACCCAGGGGGTTAGTACAAACTAAAAGGGATGTTAGGGAGGAAGTCATCAGTAGAATAGAGGAGATAAAAAAGGCGCAAGATTATAGGATTAAGTGCTTGGTAGGAAAAGAAGTTGATGATAACTTAGGGAAAAGAAAGAAAGCGTTAGATCAATATAATATGAGACCAGCTCTATCTCTCATTACCTCCCAGTATCAAGCAGACACTTTCTTAAGTAAGTCACCTCCAAGGATTTTATATTATTCTCAAATATGTTCGTGAAGTGCGCTATTGCCAAACTTATTTTAAAAATATACTTTTATAGAAAATTGATTGATTGATTCAATGGTAAGTACATTTGATTTTAAATTCATTTAAATACCTTGTCAGTCCTTGAAATTCGAATAATAACCTTATTATTGGCTTTTATTCTTTATAGGTTAGTAACAGAGAACTGATGATGACCATGAATATTCAATTTTTTGGAGGAATCATAAAATAAATGTTTCTATCGCCGACTCCATATTGTTTTATCAACGAATTTTATTTGAATTTTCATCTAATTATATGGAAATTATTTGTATCCAATTTTAGTGGTTTTAGTTACATTTTTGAAAATATATTTAGTTTTTAAGTATGGGTGAGTTTGTTAAAAACATTTACATTATAATTTTGGAATCAATTTCTTTTTAATTTTAACTATCGTTAAAAGTATATTTTTGTATTACTGGCATTTTAGGTTGGTATTTTTTAAATTTGTCACTGTTTGACAACCTTTTTTTGAATACAGGATAATATAAATCGAATTTCTAAAAATATTTAATAACATTGCTGTAATATATCTTACATGAAAAGTGGTTATTATCAAATTCGTAGAACAATAAATTATCTACACTATGAACTTTTTTCTATAGCTCGATGTTATAGCTTTTTTTTAAATGTATAAAATAGTTTATGAAAATCCAAAACCCAATCTGTGCCTCCCAGTCCAAAAACGTCTATGATCTGGGGGATTCGGGGGGGGGGGGGGGGTGGAGAGGGCGTGATACGGAGCAGACTCGAGGACGACGGTCGAGGGGGCGTCTCGGCGCCGAGAACCGTCAACCGTTCTAGACTTCAGACGCCTGCTAACCTGTTGCTGAGGGCTCGATATAGGGTTAAAGACCTAATTTTATGCGGTAGTCGTTTTCCTACCCGTTGGTGGTGGAAAGGAATGATGTCTTGGATGCGAAAAGACATTAAAGGGGATATATTTTTTTTATTTTATGCATCGACGCTTCCAGCAGTAAAACCTAAATACTAAGTAAAAAAATATAGGAAAATATTGTGGTACTTTCGTAAGTTATAACATTTTTCGTTTGTGAGATACAGGGAGGCTCACTCCCTCTTACGTCACAGAATAATTGATACAGTTATAAAAAATGTATTACCCAAACTTTAAAAAAGATTTGATATCTCAATTAATAATTGAGATATTCCAGTTTAAATGGGATGAATGTAGTTTTTGAATAGTTCTTAAAGATCCTAGTCTAATCAGTAAAAAAAGAATAAATCATTAAAGCTATGTGTGTCATAAATGAAAATTTAAATTATTGACTAGATCTACTATACCCACTAATTTGAAATTAACAATTTCTTCAATAAATAAAACATATTTATATACCCCGTGCATACATTATTAGATTTCAAGCTATCCGAAATATCAGCCACTTCCTGTACAATGTATGTAGATTTATATAGAATTTAAAAAAAGATGTACTATGAAAATCATTAACTTACCACTCCACCTCCTACAGAGTGAACCAAAAGTGATTTTCCCTGAGACAGTCCGGAAAGTTCAAACAGTAACATGTAGGCCACCGCGTAGTTCATTGTAATGGTAACAGCGTCCAAATGGGACACGTCGTTTGGTAGTTTGTATACATATTTAGCTGGGACCGCTACTAATTCGGACCATGCCCTGTATTCCGGTAAGGCTACCACTTGGTCTCCAACCTAGAACAAAAAAAACATTCGAATTGATTGTAAGAAAACATTTGAATTAACTGTAAGATTCTAATTCATAAATTGTAAGAAAATTGCTTAATTGTAAGTAAACATTTGGATGAACTATAAGATTCTAATTCATTAATTGTAAGGCAATATTCTAATTAATAATAAATATTCTAATTAGAACAAAAAAACATTCAATTAAATTGTAAGAAAACATTCGAATTAACTGTAAGATTATAATTAATTAAAGATCATTCTAATTAATTGTGAGTAATCATTCGAACGAACTGTAATATTCTAATTCATTAATTGTTAGACAATATTCTGATTAATAGTAAGAAATATTCTAATTAAAACAAGAAAACATTAAAATAAATTGTAAGAAAACATTTGAATGAACTGTAAGATTCTAATACATTAATTGTAAGACAATAGTCTGATTAATAGTAACAAACATTCTAATTAGCACAATAAAACATTTAATTAAATTGTAAGAGAACAATATGATTAATTTATAAGTAAATATTTGAATTAACTCAAGATTCCAATTCATTAATTGTAAGACAATTCTGATTAATTACAAGCAAACATTTGAATGAACTGTCAGATTCTAATATATTAATTGTAAAGCAATATTATCATTAATAGTAAGAAACATTCTAATTAAAACAAGAAACCATTCACATAAATTATAAAAAAACATTCGAATTAACTGTAGATTCTATTTTATTAATTGAAAGGCAATTCTAATTAATTGTAAGTACACATTTGAAAGAAATGTAAGATTCTACTTCATTAATTGTAAGACAATATTCAGTCAGAAACAATTTAATTAAATCAAGAAAACATTTCAGTTAACTTGTCAGAATACATTTGAATTAACTGTAAGATTCTTATTCAACATTATGATTAATTTTTAAGTTAAACATTCGAATTAACTGTAAGATTAATTGTAAGACAATTCTGAGTAATTGTAAACAAACATTTGAGTGAACTGTAATATTCTAATTCATTAACTGTAAAATTCTAATTCAACATTATTATTATTATTAATTTGTAAATAAACATTCGAATTACCTGTAAGATTCTAATTCATTAATTCTAACCCAATATTCTGATCAATAGTAAGAAATATTCTAATTAAAACAAGAAAACATTTAAATAAATTTTAAGTAAACACTCGAATTAACTGTAAGATTAATTGTAAGACAATTCTGAGTAATTGAAACAAACATTTGAATAAACTGTAAGACTCTAAATGTATTAATTGTAAGGCAATATTCTGATTAATAGTAAAAAACGTTCTAATTAAAAAGGGAAAATTTCAATTAAATTGTAAGAGAACATTCTAATTAACTGTAAGATTCTAGTTCAACATTATAATTAATTTATACGTAAATATTTGAATTGACTCTAAGATTCCAATTCAATAATTGTAAGACAATTCTGTTTAATTGCAAGCAAACATTTGAATGAACTGTAAGATTCTACTTTATTAATTATAAAGCAATATTATGATTAATAGTAAGAAACATTCTAATTAAAACAAGAAAATATTCAATTAAATTGTAAGTAATTATTCTATTTCATTTCATTTCAAGATTCTAATTCAACATTAAGATTAATTGTAAGTAAATATTTGAATAACCTATAATATTCTAATTCATTAATTGTAAGAATTCTGATTAATAGTAAGAAACATTCTAATTAAAATAAGAAAACATTTAAATAAATTGTAAGAAAACATTCAAATTAACTGTAAGATTCTAATTTATTAATTGTAAGAAAATTGTGATTAATTGTAAGTAGATATTTGAAAGAACTGTAAGATTCTAATTTATTTATTGTAAGACAACATTTTGATTAATAGTAAGAAACATTCTAGTTAGAACAAGAAAACATTTCAATTAATTTGTAAGAAAACACTCATATTAACTGTAAGATTTTAATTCAACATGAGTAATTTATTAGTAAACATTCGAATTAACTGTAAGATTCTAATTCATTAATTGTAAGACAACATTATTACTAATAGTAAGAAACATTCTAATTAAGTGTAAGACAACAATTAAATAATTAAACATATGTTTTACTTACAACAAAATCTTCTACACCTTCTCCAACTTGTTCAATTTCTCCTGCACATTCAAATCCTAAGATGAAAGGACATTTTGGAGGTGAATCTATGGCCCCTTGACGTACCATTAAATCTTGGAAGTTCAATCCACTGAAACAAAAAAAAATGACACTATAACTTTCAAAAAATGCCAACAATTATGAGAATTATTATTATTCACAAATTCTGCGTTAAATAAAAAGTTAATTGATAATAAGTCCTCTTCGCCGCTTTAAAGTAACGCCAATGTTTTCGGCACCCGATAAAATCTAGCAAGCATTTTTAATTTCCTTACGGTACCGTTTTAAAAAGAATCTATAAATTAAAATTGAAACGTCTTATAAAAGTGTTCCCTTGAGCACATTCTGGTCTTTTTAATCGTTTTGATACTTGCATATCCAAATCTGGTAAAATCAAATTACATGTTATTGGAGCCACCGCAAAAAATTCTGACTTGAAAAACGAGTTGAAGCACACCATTCGATTCGGGATTTGTTTTATTAATAAGAAAACGTCAGTGCGGTACTGTCTAGTAACTTCCTCGAAAATGTGAATGGTGGGTAATTAAATTCTAAAAAGAAATGCATCATCTCAGTGAAGAGGATTTGATATAAAGTTCAGATTGAGCCATAGAACAATTTTAAAAATCGATTTTTCTAATTTGAATTATGTTTTGGTTTAAAATATTACTTTTTATTCCTGTCAGGAACTATACTAATAATTTAAAAACAAAAAATAAGTAGGTAGATTACTCATTCATTATAAATCACCCTGTATATTTCATGGATTTGTTTAGCCCATTATACTACTTGATTACATTGCATTTTTATTGTAAAATATTCTTTAAACTAATACTTGTTTAAATTGTCATCTTTCATAAAACTGTAGAATATGGTTGACGAAATGATGTTCATGTAATGTTCATAAAAGGTTAAAAAAAAAAGAATCAATAAATTATAAAACAAATAGACCCAATAACAGTGCTTTGTGGTACACCAAAGCGACGTTCGGTTACATTGGACATGGTAAGGTTTATTTTAGTATACTATCAACTAAAAAAATATATAAATAGTACAATCTGGACCATAATTAATTATTTCTTTACATGGTGCAGATTATTTAATTGTTATTAGGCAGTTAACGTGTTAAAATAGTATGACACTCTGTATTAGGCTGCGCCTTATACGCTCGTACAATCCATCCTAAAATTTTAAGTGCCTTAATCATATGTTTTATCCATGATTATTTTGTTGATTCACTCAACAATGCTGTTTATGCTATTTGAAGCAATTAATGGTTTAATCTCAGAAAAACAAAGTGAATTGTACCAAAATAAACACGCAATGCTGATTAGAAAAGGGAGTTGTTCTGTTGAAAGTAAACAACCGTTATCGATATAAAAATGTATACATCTTAATCTGGATATTGAACAGGTTGTGCCAATCGGTTTGTTTTTTTTATATTTGTTGCCTTTTAGAAATAAAGCAACATTTAAATTGTCTTGTGTAAATTGTTGCGCATAAATATGGCGAGCCGCGCTTGCGCCGAGCTAAATCAGAAGATGGAAATCACGAGCCTCTGTTAACACAGCCTTTCAAACAAACAGTGGAAGGACCTATTTGTTTTATGACGATGCTGTATATATCGAATTTTCTAATAGTCCTAAGGAAATAAGAAATAGAGGCCGTACAAGCGACATTTTTCCAAATGTACCGGGCTATGCATCCTCAGCTTTTAGAAACGTAGATGGTTATTTATATTTTTTAAACAAGATACCATAAATTCAATGACTATACGAGAAAAAGTTGTTGCGTCTGGACCATTTAATTGGAATATGTTCGGAGTACCTTGTGCTAGCGAAGGAGATTTAAAATCTTTGGTAACTAAATTAAGTTCCTTGTATGAATAAAAACCTTTAAAATTAAACTATTTTTTTTTCTACACAACTAGTCTATCAAAATGATATAATGTTCTAAAATAAAAATACCAGGTTTTGTTCACACCGCCTATACCTCATTCTAACCTAAATACGTCTGATGGAATTAGCGCTAGATATTGTCATGAAATTGCTAATCCGACCCTGTGTACGCGCGCGACCTTCACATTGCAACCGACTCGTGATCGAAGCAACGCTGACGTGTGAAAACAGTCGGACCGCGTCTCGAATATACAAGAAACGACGGAATGCATGCCGCTGATGCACTAGAAACAGCTGGAACGGCGGGGAGTGCCGTTTAGTCCTAGAAGTGGAATATTCGAGAGCCTCTAGCGTCTTCCAGTAGCGGAGTTGGACTAATGTAAATAGCCGACGTATCAGCGCCCAGTTAGTTGATTATAGATAGTTAAATATAGAACATTGTATTGAAAAGTTAAAGTGTAAGAAATAAATTAGAATTGTTAGTTAGTGTCTAAGTATTATATAAATTAAATAGTAAGTCTGAAATAAATTGTAAATAGTGTTTTTAAATAAATAAACTAAAAATAAATTAGACTATCGTCACAATATGTTGAGAAACATATTCATGGAATCAACTCGATTTTGGAAACATATTTACTAAACCATGCTGATTGTATCTACGTACGAGGAAATGAAAAAGCTGAATTTTTACTAAAAAAAGTGTCACGTGTTTGGAATATTTCCTATAATAGTAGATGTATGCAAGTTCGATGGAACACCGTGTGCAACAGAAAAATTCATTAGTGACTCCAAAACCTGCATGTACCGCGCCAATGGATCATTTAAATGTACCCAGAAGAACTACGCCAATGGTTCCTTAATACTGTTTTACCGTTGTAATTTGTTTTTTTAGTAATAAATGATTATAGAGGAAATGTTGTTTTTAATTAAAACACCTAATCTATTTCAAACATTTATTTTTATTTTACAAGAAGAGTAAATTTTTTATTTATAATTTTTACAATCATTTTCAATATTATAAACAAAGTAGGTGATAATGTTATACAACTAACTATACAGGGTGATTCATAAGTACTTTGACAAACTTCAGGAAATGATGCATAATTTTAAGGTAAAAAGTTCATATAAACATGTGTCCGGAAATGGATGGTTTTCAAGATACAGGGTGTTAAAGTTTAAAAAAAAAATCGTTTTTTATCATATCTTTCATACCACTGAAGATAATTTAATGAAATTTGGAACACGTTGTTTTACCATAAAGTGACTTTTTTTGATGCTATTAACTTTTTTTATTTTCATCAGTGGCGTCCCTACAGTATTTAAACTAAATATTATTGAAGAAAAAATGGTACGCCACTGGTTTTTTAAAAAATAAAAAATATTTTTAAAATCTACATTTAATTTGGAACACATTTGATCTCTCGACTTTTGTTCGTAAAAGTACTTATGAATCACCCTGTATATAATTTAGAATATTCAAGCTTTAGCATGTCACTCAAATCGATTTCCAAGAAAGGTGTTGGAGTCGTAACAGCCTGCCAATCTTTGAATTGTCCTTCAGTGTCATCATCAAAAATCAATTTTAATTTGTATCTCTTTGCTTCATCGATTGCTATGGAAAACGTATTTAGCTTCATATTATTTACTACCGAGTAATTCATCTTTCGCCATTCTGTTTGATTGTCAAAACTTATCGCCATTTGTTGTACGCCATTCGGTAAATTGGTATACAGTATATTGTTTAATATAGCAGTAAGTATAATAAAATTTGCTTTCAATAAAACTATATCTGCGTCGGTTGAATTCTTCTAAGCGTTCTAGGATGATATTTCTCAATATCCTCCCAAAGACTTAAATTTGTTAGGTCTCTTAAAACTTCCCTTTTGTCTTCATATAATTTTGTTTCTACTTAGTTCCCTAACTTTTACATCAAACTCTTCAATTCTACGTCTATTCTCTTCGTTTGACATCTCGATAATGATTAAAATTCAATAGTTGGTGCGAATTACCTCTCCGTTTAAATATAACCAATAACAGGCGCAGGTCACTGCGCGTAATTTTTCTCTTCATCGGTAATTTCTCCCACTCCCTCGTTTTACCCCATTCAAAACCGACCAATAATAGTCGAGATACACGCTTAGGTCCTTTTGGCATTGCTATTGCGCAGGATTTTTCTATGGAAAGCACGAGCCTCTGTTAAGTCTCCTTCACTGGGCGCGTGGTAATTTCAGAGCACCATATAAATATGATAAACTGGGGTCGTTGTTGGCTCGGCACTTCATATTTATACGCACCTTATTCAAATAAAAAAATAAAACCAACCATTAACCGATTATTTTTAGTTCTGACTAATTTTGATGGTGTGTAATAAAAATAACCTGGAGAATTTAGAGATGACAGTATCGAGAATTTAGAGATAACAGTAACAAATCTGTACTGCACTGTAACATTTACTTGAACTTCGATTTTCGTTTAAGAAGGGTTTCGGCGAAGACCTTTTTGTCGTAGGCCCGTTTATAAATACAGATATATACGTTACAGAATGAAAATGGCTCCCAATTGGCTTCTTAAGCTTCTAAATTAAGTATTTGTCTGCAGATATTTGTGAGTGAGTCAGCAAACCGTTTGTAAACTGCCATTCAGTGCAACCTGCGTAGTGATTTTCAGTCGCGGATACTCCTGACAGTTATAAACTGCGTATTCGGTTTGCTCCAATAAGATTTCAAATCAAATTTCAAAGACACCTGATTATAAGTCCGATGCTCGAAGCAATACAGAAATGCGTTCAAACCTGAATACATTTAGAAATAGGGTTGCTAACTCGAAAATTTGTTGTTGCAGGATTCAGGTGTCTAAAATGCGGGCCTTAGGTGTTTAAAATGCTGGACCTGTGTGTTTAGCTTTGCTAGGAGATTTATTTTGTTTCATGGGATTGTTCGTTTGTTTTAACCCTTTCGGTAAAAAATTTATTTCATAATAGAGGGCGCTGTTTGGGTGTTGGCACTACTGGGAAATAATTGGTTTGTTTTTTGTTTCCAGGAACCATCTCGTATAAGAAAAAAAACTTAACGGACAGCGGTTTGTTGTTGTTTTTTTAAGATTAATAAATAATTTCACTGGACTATATATATACAATGATTCATCGAAAGCGAAAAAAGTTTCAAGAATTCCATAATGATTAACCGACAACCGC